ACATATATTACATTATCGCATGGTTTAGAGTTTACAGGTATCTCTATATTGTATCACTATTCTTATTTAACCCCATCATCGAACAGCTAAAATCCAAAGAGGATGTGTAGGGATATCACTTTCAAGGAGAAAAATTTATTACACTACTATTCCCCGATGATTTTTGCCTCATCACCAAAGACAAACGCCAGCACCAGAAGCTGATGACAGAAATCCTCCTTAGAACAACGGAAACAATGGGACTGGGTATGAAACCTAAAAAATGTAAAAAAATGTCCATTAGACCAGGTTTAAATCCACTTTTGTCGTACCAGACAAATTTTTCTGGGTATTACAATATTTTATAGTGGGAAGACTAGGGAAACATGAAATGCTTAACAAAATATTCAAGGAATTATTAGCAATATTGATGGAAGTCTAATACGTAATGAGTTTAAACTTAGAGTATATAATCAGTTTGCAGTCCCATCAGTTAAGTATCATCTAACTGTACATGAAATTACAGATACACAATTAAGTGACCTAGATCTCGTTCATACAAATGCAATTAAGAAATGCTTAGGACTTTCCATAAATGGATTGATTGATTGATTGATTCAGTCCCAAGTTTTTTCAATGCCTTGGCTATCTGATGTATATCGGGCGAGTCTCATTTCTTAAATGTAAACTGAATCGTGAATCTCAAATTTCTAGAAATATGGCATGAAGCGGATCAAGGAAGTGGCATTTAAATAATACACTTCAGCTAGTATGCTTTTAATAAATAAATAGTTTAAATGTACAAAACAAAAACTGGTTCCAAATTAAATCTGTTAAAAAAATTATATATGAAGATTAAATACAATTTTAGAATGACTATATCAAGTCACTTCTTCAACAAGGTAACCTCCTAAAATTACTACATCTAGAATTATGTGATACAACATGTGTTGTACAAAATGTGTGGAAATGTGGAGACCTTTATCCATGTAAATCCTGTAAAATTTCTCTTGAGCAATGGAGACATAATAGTATATGCTGCCATCTCCAATGAATCAAATAATAATATGGTATGGTATGGTATGGTATGGTATGGTATGGTATTCGCAGACCTTTAGGGTTCTCTAATGGCAGAGGGACTATAACACTCAATATTATTACAAATTTAAAGCCCAATATAATTATTCTGAAGGAAATTGAAATCAAAATATTTGAATTAACAGTTCCATTTTAAACCAAGTTAAGAAGGCACATAAGAGGAAAATTGTTAAAGATAGCCAGCTAGTTGATGACTTAAAGCTAAGGGAAGTGGGAAGTAGATGGATAAATGCTTAAATTGAGGTTGTATCATACTGCTCACCGTTATTTGGAATGTATCAATAAATGGAGTTATACCACACATGAGGAAGAGTGTGAAATGTCAGATTGGATTAGAGTCCCAGTGACACAGTTGGTTAAGTCATCTGCAGAGACAACAAAAGATCCCAGGTTCAAATCCCAGATAGGGATTTTTTTTTTCCATGGACATTCACAGATTCCTCTCCTTTAATGTTCAAAATACATAATCATAGTATTACCACAACTTCCTGAAGCCCAAATCCTTTGCTGTGCTCTAGCATCTTTGACAGCTTGTCCCTCATTATTTCTTTGCTTTTGTACAAAGGTAATTCAAATATGTTGTAGCAGGTGTGAGCAGATGGTAGACAGTCAGAGCTTCCAAGAGCTGGCTGGATTATCATTTTTAGCTGAGACATGCCCTGCACTGGGATCCGATCACTGCCTGTTAAAAATTCTAGTACAAACCAAACCATCAAAATCAATTAATAAAATAATATATTAATAACATGATGATAATATTAGTGACAATAAATATGACAATGACAATAATTATATTAATATTAATAATGATAATGGGACATCCTACCAATAATAAGCCTGTGTTAAAGGGGTAAAATACCTGTCAGGGATTATTTTATTCCACTACCACCCATTTATTCTCAAGAGTGGCCAGCCAAAGACAAAATGTAGATATACTGTAAGTGCTTTGTCCAAGACCACAAGTGAAATGGACATCATAGGATTTAAACCCCATTATTTAGACAAGTCGAGCGGTTGAGCAGTAAGGCAGGGGAGCAGTTACCTACAGCCTTAACATTGGCACTGGTTCAAGATGCAGAACCAAGTCTTCACACATAAGGAGTTCTTGTGTACGCATAATGCTCTTTCAGAGTAGAGATTACACTGATGGTATGCTTCATTTAAGCATGATTTCAGCTCCTGTCATGTGTAATATGATTATTAGCTACTATAAGAGTCAGCACTAAATAATCATTAATCACACACATACACAATTCAGCACAATGACGCTGCAAGTTACAGGTTGTTCAAGAATCAAACCACCACAAATATCAGGGACAAATTTATTTATAATGGTTTTCTTAGAGTTACCTAAAAATTTCTTCTTTTCTTGCAATGTGAAATCATGGAAAACTTGCCAGAAAAACTGGATAGTTTCATGTGTCTTGCTGATGTATCTGTATTCAACCAACTAAAAATAAAATGTGAACAATCATGAAATATTATTTCATAACACATAACAGATTAAGAATCTGTCCATGCTATCAAATTTTATGTGACAAATAAATGTGATATGCTCATATTTGGGTGTAATATGACATCATCATGCCCATATTTGGGTGTAATATGGCAATGGTAGTAAATTTGTAGAGTGCCTTCAACAATAAAATCATCTCAAGGCACTGACAGTATTCAAACCACGAATCATGCCGAAAAAACAAACAAAAGGCATTAGAGAGCTTTTGTTATCTTGTTCAAAAAACAAATTTACCAAGAAAAGTGCATATTTTTGTGTATGACGTCACTAATTTAGGCCTAGTTTTAGTTTCCTCGTACTCGCAACCCGAGATTCAGCCGCTGGATCCGGGGTGATGAATCAAGAACCATGAACTGCAACATTTCAATGAAATTTGATTATATTCTATACTAAATGATTACAATACTACATTGAGAAAATCGTCATAGTTAATACTGATTGCAAATTCACTTAAATTTTTCACAGATGTTAACATAATCATTGTATTTCGTACTAGACTTGACCTAGTCATTCCATACCATTCGATTAGCCATCATGCCACCACGGCCCAAGCGCATGCCATGGCTGTAGCAACAGGCTGTGCTGCTACCAAGGGTTTGGTTCTCAGGGGAACATGAAAAGGCATAGCGAAAGCTCAGTATTTCTTTAACGAGAATTGTAACGAGAATGGTAACAAGAATGGGACATTTTCTCAGTGAATTGGTTCTCGATAAAGATAACTAAACTGCTCTAGTTTCATTCCCATGTAACAGGCACATCACACAAGTTTGTTACATAAACTTAGATAGTGTCGATTGAGCTTAAGAATCACAATTTATTTTTAATTTTAATATTTTAAATTTTTTTTATTTATTTTTTAACATTTCATTTATTTATTATAATTTTTTTAAATATTTTTTTTCCAGTTGAATAAACTGAAATTGTTATTGTATATAAAATTATGAATTAAAGGAAAGATGATTTAATGGTAGTATATACGAGTGACTGAATAAATAAAATAAGTTAGTGAGTGATGACTGTGGTTATAAGAAAAGAATTGTATTTTATATGTTCAGTTATTTATATATTTATTAATCTATTTAAAAATATTTCTATTTCCATCTGTCCATCTATCCATCAATACATCCATTTATTCATTTTTAATTTATGAAATTATTTGACAATTGACTTACACTTTCAAATTCTTTCCAATCATAACTGTCACTGCCAACAACCATAGTCTTCAGTTCCTGAGGATGAAATTTCTGTAGAACTGGTCCACCACAGACCTGTAAGAACCCCTCTTCAAAAGCACTATATTGAGCCCTCACCGATTTATTGAAGATGTGGTCAACATACAGAGCCACATACTCTTGTCTAAAGAAAAGAGGATAAATATTGGATTCAATAAAGGCTTGTTTACAGTATGACAATAACAATCGACGATAATATCATAAAAAGCAATTGTTCATATAGAAAATAAAAGAAATACGGTAAGACAAGTTTTCACACTAGCACGATTTTTTAATGATTTATTGTGTATACGATATAAAAATAATTTCACAAATCAAATCAAATGACTTCATAATCATCATGAAAAAATGTTATCGTTTTCCCAAAATTTATGACGTCATTTGATTTGATTTGTGAAATTATTTTTTTATTGTATACAGTACACCATAAATCTGGAGATCTGGTCTTTTAATTTCTATATGAACAGTTGCTTTTTAGCTTTTTATCGTTGATCGCTATCGTCATAGTGTAAATAAGCCTTTAAACAGGCCTTTAATGTAAATACATAAAATCAGTTGTTCAATGTAGTCAATTTGATCTGTACCTTCAAATTGGAATGAACAAATAAGTAACAATTTATAATAATGAATCAAAACAGAATATCAAAAGCCCATGAAAAAGGATTAAATAATAATGATAATCAAAACCCATTAGATTTGGGAGGAGGGGGAAGCCTCCCTTTTGGAAATTAAACACAAGAAAAAAAAGAAAGAAAAAGAAATTATTGATAACCTAAGACGTCTCAGAGGTAATTTCTTGGCATCTAGGAAATACAAAGTTGCCAGGCCCGCTAAGGTAGTGTTGTCTCTCAATCGTCCCAACCCACCCGTCAGACATTTTTGGGATCGGCCCCTGTCACGTCACCATTAGGTCCATCGATATAGACATAAACTTACTTGTTGTCATAGGTTACAGGAATGTATTTTCCCCCTTTCTTGAGGTCAAAAGTTTGTACATCTTCATGGAATTCTGTAGATATTTGGAAGTACATGTTGAATACATCCTGTAGATCGTAGTCATCATAATCTAAGATAGCTTTTAAGCACTTTGCCATTCCCTCATCCAATTCCTTGAAGTCTGTCAGGTACACAGGCCTAAAGAAAATATGAACTTTTGACAGGATATAAACTTACATAATCATATGTTCTAGTTGTTTTATAGAATAGTTTAAAGTTCAATTCAGACTATCTTTGACAAAGACATGTGACATGCCTAAATATGGTAATGATGACATCACATCATGACCATACATATGCACATCATGACCATATCATGGAATACAACAGTTTTCATATTTGATCTTTTTATATTTACTCTTATGGAGAACAGTATTTCATTATTGAATAAGTTTTCGTGACTATACTAAAGTGGCTATTTTGTCCAAGAAAATTTTATAATCTTGACAAAGCTTAAGCACTTTGATACTATCACTCAAATGGGATATAAAACATACATCATGTTATGCTGTTATTTTCCCCCTTTTCAATGTTAAAACAACAATTTTTAACGATTTGGTGATGGTCTCTGCCTGAGAAGTGCTCAAAATCATAAACTTTGAAGGCTAATTTTTAAATATTGTTCTTTAAACAGGTCTATGTTTAAATGCTTGTAACTTCATAAGGAAATGTCGGATTTAATTGGTTTTTTACCATTTTAGAGCTCTCATTTTATTGTTTTAACCCTGTATTAATAACTACAAATCAATGTTTGCGACCAGTGATTGGTTTGGTTTTCCTTTGCCACATATAATTGAGAGAAAGCTCATAAAGTAGTTCACTAAATATAGCACAAGGGTATTTAACTGGTATTCCTTACCTGTTGAGAAGCTTTTTGTAGAGTACTAGGGGGAAGGGGAGGTCCACAATAACTTGATTATAGATCGCTAAACCACAGAGTACACCAACCATTCGAAACATTGACCTATCCTTATGAGACTACAAGAAATATAGTTATTTAAGATTTAACTGATCTACAAGCAGTCTATGAATATTAGATAATGGTTGTGATAAGATATTTCATGACAAGTATTTGAAGCACAAGTGGTAGAATAAGTTTACTGTGACACACTATTGTGAAACAGTCAATTTTACTGCAATATATTGTTGTGGCACTGCAAGTACTGGTGCAGTGTGACAGGTTTGTGAAAACCATATATGCTCCGAAGGAAAAAACAATGTCCACCTTTTTCCCCCAGTTTTTAAATATTCAAAAACCTGTATCTTACTGTTTTTCGTCTAACCATTTTTTGTGTCTTAGAAAAAAATCAGTTGTACAACAGACAGTATCAATAAAAAGATTTCCTACAGATCCTAACTTAAGCCAATTGGATTATTAAGTTATAGGTCTTATTTAAGTTTAAACATTTTTTTGGTTAAAGGATTGATATTTCAAACAAATTTCTTATTTGAAAATTATTTAGTGCAAAACAAAATATAAACAGTAATAAGCATACCTGAGGGTTGAACCAAACTGTTCCTGTACTTTTGCTAAATTCCTTGAACATCCCAAATTCTGGATTAAAAAATGTTTTGAATACCAGCAGAAAGAACTCCTATCATATAACAAAACATATGGAATATTGAACTTTTTGTGGAGGTGCACCATGAGCAGTTTGTTTTAATACGGATAATGGCACTTTATAAATTTTCAATATTAATAATATTAATATTATTATTATTATTATTATTATTATTATTATTATTATTATTATTATTATTATTATTATCATTATTTATTATTATTATTATTATTAATTTTGCTAAAATTTGTTATTATTATTTAAATTATTATTATTATCATTATTTATTATTATTATTATTATTAATTTTGCTAAAATTTGTTATTATTATTTAAATTATTATTATTATCATTATTTATTATTATTATTATTTATCTGCACTTCAACAAAAACCAGTTCCTCTGTATTGAGCGTGCCATCCAGAAGAAAGTTGATTAAATAAATAAATAAGTAAAATTCTTTTCACATGTCCCTATATGTCTCAAATACAATGTAATTCAGACAAGTTGTCATCTATGTTTTCAATTATGACATTAATGATTTGATTTTTTGTAAAAATAAAATAAAACTGTTTAATTGTGCATGCGCCACAAACCGTATACAAAAAATTGCAAAAGCTAGAGGCAACGGAAAAGTAGTCTCCAACAATAAAGTTTGCTCCTAGCTAAATGGAAGAAGAAGAAACAAATACTGACCTTGATAGGACCACCATCATCTATTCCAGGTTCATCTTTAAAGTTTACCCGCAATTTCTTTTTGAGGTCTCTTTGCAATTTCCCGTTTAGCTGCCTCATAGTACTTGCTACAATGTCTAGTCTATCAATGGTCAATACTAACAACGTTGGACAACTACAACAAAAACATTGCAATCCAGGGTTTATGAACATGTTGCACCGGATTCCTAGCAACATCCTCTGATAAAACATTTCTTCAGCCACTGCAATCTGCAACACAAGGGACAAAACTTTAGGACACTTATATCTCACAGTGGTGGATCCAGGAATTTGAAATAGAGGGGGGCCTGGGAGGGACTTTCACAGATGGAGGATCTAGACCACCTCAGCCCCACCAAGAGAGTGATAATAGCACCTCTAGATGGCTGAAAATGACACTCTCAGACTTATTTGAATATAGTTTTCTTTTGCTGCATTTTTAAAAAATAATTTTGAAAAAAATATGGGGGGAAACTGGGCCGGCTGCATCCCACCCCACAACCCTCCTTGAATCTGCCACTGTCCAATATCATTGTTAGGGAAAAAAACCATTGGCAAAGCAGTTGTCATCAAGGCATTGAATAATGAGATTGATGGTTTGAATTCCAGAAAATTTTAATCACTATCCTATATGATTGGTTCCTAGGGCCTTAAGATTATAAAGCAAGTTTGTCATATTCTTGTTCAGTTCTTATAACTATGTTTTCCTTCCCTTACCTGTTTCTGTTCTTGGCTTTCAATTAGGATAAGGTGCATCTTTAAAGTATTCTCCAGAATAAATGGATACTTCTCCAGGAACTCTTTTAGCAGCTGTAGATAAAATACAGAACCAAGTTCTAAACATGTACACAAAGGTATGATATACAAACTTGAGTGTTACATTTAAAGGATATCTCTTGCTTATAATGTGTAACCTTCAATGAAGCATGGAGGAATTAGTGATTGAAGAAACATTGTTTTCGCCTTGGAATGGTATTAAAAAATTATTTCGAGTAGATGGTGTTATACATATCAACAATCTTAACAACAACATATGGTCAAAGATAATGCAAATGATTGCCCCTGAATTGATAAATTCTAAAATTCATTATGATTCACATGTGAAAATACAGCAGCTCTCAATATTTCTGGGGTAAAACAATGTATCTGTATAAATCATTAATAACTTTGCAATACACCAAATTTTATAAATAAAATTGATGATGCTGCAAACATTTTAGAATAAATAAATAAATAATAAATTTCAGTAACTACCTACTTCAACTGATCTAGGTGTAAGTGTTGACCCTTCCCAGAGTAAATTGATCTCAGGAATGTAAAACGATGTGTATGAAACATGTTCGATACTCTCTTCTTTCTTTTCAAAGACCTTTTGCAAGATAAAATACAAGATGTTAACCATCATGCACTGAAGTACAAATAGAATAAAGCTCACTCCAAAATAATACATCAGGTCTGATAACAGAGCATATGTATTATTTTTTACCTTACCTGTGACATAGCACCAATGAAAAAAAAAAAAAAAAACAGAATGGCAATTTGTACAAAAACATTTCCTTGTTGAATGACATTTTGCATTACAATATTATATAACAACAAAGTAAATTCAGCATATCCACATATTTTGACTGGGATCACGATATCTAAAACCCTGTCCAGATCCTCAAAAGTTATTTGGCAAAAAAGTGTTGTATGCCCAAATATAGTCATGATATGCATATATGGTCATGTGATGTCATCATGACCATATTAAGGCATGTCACATGTTTTTGTCAAATAAATTTTCATAGTTTGGACAGGGCTTAAGAAAGTGTGTATCTGTAGTATGTAGACCCCCTATTTGTTTGAATCAAAATTCACTTTCTGTTGTTAAAGCCTGTTTACCTTGTAGAGTTTCGTGAGCATGTCCAGGGCAATTGTTATGTTCCCTTCAGGTGTGAGCTTTGGTCCATCTCGTTGCTCGGACAACAAATGTACCATCACATTTTTGAAAATAGTTATAAGATGTATGAAACGACCAGGCGGGAGATTTCCAATCCAGGTATCTACCATAAAGACAAACATTGACAACAATTTATGTAAAATCTCTAGTTTACATCATGCCTTGCGGAATAAAAATATGAATGTTAGCTGATACAAAATGTAGGATACATAACTAAAGCCCTGTCCAGGCTATCACATTTTATTTATCAAAAACATGTGACATGCCTAAATATGGTCATGATGACATCACATCTGGATTGCAATGTTTTTGTTGTAGTTGTCCAACGTTGTTAGTATTGACCATTGATAGACTAAACATTGTAGCAAGTACTATGAGGCAGCTAAACGGGAAATTGCAAAGAGACCTCAAAAAGAAATTGCGGGTAAACTTTAAAGATGAACCAGGAATAGATGATGGTGGTCCTATCAAGGTCAGTATTTGTTTCTTCTTCTTCCATTTAGCTAGGAGCAAACTTCATTGTTGGAGACTACTTTTCCGTTGCCTCTAGCCTTTGCAATTTTTATGTATACGGTTTGTGGCGCATGCACAATATATATGCACATATACATATATAGGCACATCATGACTATATATGGGTATACAACAGTTTTTTGTCCAATAAAATTTGACAGTTTGGACAGGGCTTAAATTTTGTGGATACTGCCCTCATTAGGTTAGTATAAAACACTAGTGTGTGGACAGGAATTTAATTCATTAGGCAACAAGTGACACTAGTAGGCCTGATATACTAGAAATGTCTCAATGGACTAAACAAATCTGAAGTATGTATATTACTAGAAAATAATCATAATTTTGTGATAAGAAAAACTACCTACCAATGACTTTTGACAATTTAGGTGAAAGATTACACAATGCTTTAGTGATGCTAATGATAGATTGAAGGTACGATTCAGGGAATTGCATTGTGGGAAATTCCAGTAGTAACAAGTAAAGGCGAAGTGCTTCTACACCAGGAGGCGACATCAATAGTGTTGGACTCAGTTGCTTATGTAATACCTCAGAAATCTGAAAATAATGGTATATAATATCATTACTTTTTTCCAAATACAACATATAGTATACTTTAAACAAAGAAATTGATGGGAAGAGAGTTTTGATACACTCCTCCTATGAAAAAAAATGGAATAAAGCTTTGTATACCAAAAATATAGACTTGCAAGAATTACTTGCACCCCCACCCCCAGTTTCCCCCCAAAAATCATTGCAAGTAGTTAAAAATCACCTAAAATCAACTTATTTTGCAAGTTAGCACCCCTTAACTGATCACCGAGCCTTCCCACTTCACCTTTGCACCCCCACCCAATCAGCAGCCCCGTTTCAAGACTTCTAGATACGCCCTTTGACCATTATGATATACACTACAATGATTTTACACTATTGAAGACAATTTGTATAAACTGCGCATTCACAATAGCAATTCAACTGTTTTACAAAAACAAAGCTTCAAAAAAGTTTTGTGGCCCAAAATCGGGCCATGTCCTGTCATATCATATTCATACATTTAATGTAAGATGGCCTAAGAGGAAAAAAAAATTAACTCCTATCCAATCCAATCCAAACTTTTGAATTATAAGGTGCATTATACGGTAATTAAAAGTGATGGGATATTCGCTGTTGGAGATAAGAATGAAATTTAATATCACTACTGAATATGTTTCTATTGTGCGTCTCACCTCTGATAAGATGTTATGTTTTTGGGAAATTCTGTTGAAGACTTTTCTTGCTCGAACAAGATTAAGTCCTGAGTCCTCTTCACTGCAATAATGATCTCTGTAACAAATCAATGCTTGTAACCAGTTTATCATTGTCATTCCAAATTTAATTCTTGAATCTCAAAACTATAAATAATAGTGATTAAAAATTATGATAAAATACGTCTCCTCCAAAATGTTCCAATTAATAATCAATTTTCTCTGGGAATGAAGGATTTTGGATGACGGTTGTGTTAGCAACCAGTATTCTCAGTCTGCCACAACGTTTAATAGTGAGTTTTCGCAAATGCAGCACGGACGTACTCTAGAACTAAAAGCAATGAACTGTAACTGTCATTGACACTCATCTGCGGTTTGATCCTTAGAAGTTTCGCAACTGAAGAACGAACGGTAGTGCGTGATGTCGGTTAAGCTCACACATGCCCTCCTTTTTATGTATCCCTAAAGTCTGCTGATTGGCTACTTGATTGGCCGTCCGTCATTGATGCGAAAGCTCACTATTAATGTTTCTGACGATCATCAGATATAGGGGCTAATCACTTTCGCCATTCATGTGACATCATCGAGCATAATCACATGATTTCAATGGACCTTTCAGAACAGGGCCAGGAATTATGGGCGTATCCTACAAACACGTGTTGTCCCACAAATAACACTGTCCTTTAAGGACCTTAGCAACAATATCCAAGGGGTGGGGCTTAAATACAGCAAATACCTTCTAAGGAATGATGCATTCAAACAAGCCGATGATGAAAACAAACTCTGGATGGCTTTTTTAACATTGTCTGGAACAACTGAAGAGTGTGATATCTCTGCAATTTCCGATATTGATTTTGAATTTAGTTGATAAATCATTTGATCTGAACATTTTTCATCCTGTTTAACATTTTTATTGCTCCTCTGGTTAGCCTTTGAGACAAAAAAAATCAGATTAATATTTATCAAGTTACCTGTATGAGTTCAGCCAATTGCAGTGGCGTATCTAGCAGGTGTGGACAAACCACCAAAAATAGCTTGTGCTTCCCAGAGTCCCCAATTGAAAATGTCTGAAGCAAAAAAATCATGCTCAAGTAGCTGCCTGATGAATTTTGTAATGTTCAGAAGTCATTAGTGTAGTGTATGTTACTAGGTCCTAATATAGCGCAACAAATACAGAACAGATATATACTGTAAGCTCTGACAAAGGGGAAACAAAGGAAAATAGAGAAAAAATTAAAAATAAAACCCAAAGAGGTTGACTTCTCATGCAAGTCAGAGTGTAACATGAGAGGGTACAGTATAAATTGAAGTGTGATTCAAGACAATTCTGTTTATTATGGCAGAATTTAAAACAGAGGAGAAATTTACAATATTAAAATTTAACACACAAGGCCTGATAGATCCATGAATACAAAAAATACCCAGATGGAAATTTAACAAAAAAAAACATATAAGAATAAATAAGTGAATATAAGTGTAAAATGAGTGAATGTGCATAAAATAAGTATAACTGAAAAATGAGTATTAATTTAAAATAAATGCCTAAAGGTGAGTATGAGTATAACAATTGAAAAAGGGTAATACAAGTGTAAGTTAGTGTATTCATTCACTGCATTGGCTAATATACTTTTCAAATTTGTTAAATAAAATAATAAAATATAACTTTTTTGTGTTTTATTGGCCATAAACCATACCTCAGAGGTGATAAAATAACAGGTAGGTCCACCAGAGTATATGTTGGTGATTAGGGATCGGCCTTTAGCATCCAAAGTATCACCAGAGAAATAGTCCGACAATGACTTGATCTCCACCAATGTTAAGATGAATTCGTATGAACCAAATATATAAAGATTACTGCTGGAAGGTATAAAGGCGAAGGTGTACCATCTGAAATAAAAAACAAGACACAACAAATTTGCCTCTGCACAACAACTTTTGACTGTCATTTTGCACCTAACAGGTGGCCTATCTTTAATTTTACTTTGACTTTTATTTATTTCTTTATCCCAGTTAAACCTCTGTTTAGCAAAGAGCGCACATATACACAGCTTTATTTGCTTAGTCCAGTAATTATAAAGATGAATGAAAACAGTGGAATCAACTTACCTTCCACATACTATCTTTTTGTCTTTTTGTTTAAGTTCTGGATGCAATTCTGACCAGCTTTCAAGAGTGTCTATCATATTCATCGAAAAGATCGTGACCTCACCATTCTAAAAATTCAGAAAAATGTAAAACATTTATCGATGGTACAGTACAGTATCTTTGATCAATTACAGGAAACTTATATTTGGGATATGTATTTTATTAGTATCTACCAGGTGTAGATTATCATTTAATAGACCAGGTATGTAATACATTTTTTATATAACAGGTGACACTGACATTTGTAAATCCAACAAGGTGTCATAGTACTACAAGTAGGAATGTTCAAATGAGCGAGAAGTAAGCTTTGAAGTAGTAGTTTACTTGTCGTACACCCTGTGTAGTGCCTGTGGAGATGTTCCTTGTATTAAGTTACTTCAACATTCGTACAGACGATAGCATCCTGAGCAGTCTCAGGATTAAGAGTTCACATGGAATGCAAAAAATATGCACTCAGGGTAACGCCACGTAGACTCACTTACTACAGAGCTCAGAAGTAAATACAACCTTTATTATGACCTCAATTTTGTTTCAAAAGAAAATTGTTAAAAAAGAGGGCCAAAAATAACATTTCCTGTAATTTGCAAAACCTTTGGAGACACCACGTTTTTACAACTGTTTACAATCCCAAGAACTTGTGTGCAAAATATCTGTTGAGACACACGAAAGTGGCAATTTTTACTTCAAGAAAAATTGCATAGTTACTTCTAAGCTTTGAACTAGCTTTGAAACAATTAGAATATTATGTCCTGGGTAAGCTTCATGTGGACACTCGTCTGCCATAACTTTACTTCAGACGGAAGGCCGTCTGTACATAACATCCATCTGTATCAACATCCAATCCAGTGAAGATCCAATGTACAGGTAGTTCTAAAATGGAATAGAAAATGTGATATTTTTACATCACTTACCAATGAGCGAAACTCTGAATGATTCTGTCCACAGGCAATGTCGGAAATTTCCTGCCCTTGCAGAAAATCTAATTCATGTGGAAATTTACAGCCTAAAACAGAAATATAAATCAGTGTTACATAAAATTCAAATTTTTCAATTACATAATTCCACATCTTATACATTGGCATATCTAGGTGATTGGGGGGGGGGGGGCTGAGGTGGGGGTGGGAGGTAGTGGCAGCTGTAGGATATATTCTTGAGCTTGAGCATGTATGCCTGAGAAAGGGGAGGGTTAGGAAGGGAGTGTCCCCTCCCAAATGAAATTTTTGTTTAAAAACCTCTGCATGGCCGGAAATGTAAGACATGTGTTGGCTTGACGTGGCCTATTTTATTTTTTTGGTAAGACTGCTTGGCGAGCTCTGGCCGATGGAGAGGGGATTGACCTCTCTGAAGGAGGGGGGAACTGCCCTTCCTCCCCACTCGGTACAGTGGCGGCGCCAGCGGGGGCAGGGGGCTTAAGCTCCCCATGGGTTTGGTCAAGCGCCCCCCATCGGCCAAAGCTCGTCGGGCAGTCGGACCAAAAAAAAAAAAGGCAAAGGCCTAGTAGTTTTCTCATCCCAGCCATCTAGAAATGGCTGGGAAATACTAATTCCTGTATCATTTGCGTATTTTATCATTTTACAGTGAGGATCCAAGATCTTAAAACTACTAAAATATAAAAAATTTAAAAAAACAGTTACGGAGACAAAACACTGCCTTGCGGAACACCAATACTTACTAACTATTGACATTACGTTATTACATTTAAATCATGTGGTCTGTCTGTCTAACATAAAATTTAAAACACATAAAATTCTAGGAGAAATCAAGCTTAATCAGTCTTTAACAATAAGTGTGGAACAATAGTGTTGAAAGTACTTGAAAAATCAATAAAAACTGACCTTACAAAGCTCTTGGTTTTTCCTGATGTTCATACACGTGTTGTGAATATAAATATGTGGGTGTGTATTATGCCAACAGAAATGAGAAGCAAGATACAGGCAAATATATATAAGTTAGATAAGCAATAGATTACCTCTTCCAATATGCACTCCAAGTTGTCCGAATGCATTGCTTCCCCAGCAGAACACAGCGCCACTAAACGTCAGAGCGAGGGAGTGATCACCTCCGCAAGATATTTGCTTGATTGGCAGACCGCTCAAGCATGCAATTTCAGTGGGCACAGCACAGGTGTTGTAAAGATGAGTGGTGAATCCCAGCTGGAGTCTGCTGTTGTCACCCCAAGCAAACAGCTTGCCACCTGTATGCAAATTCTTTCATTACAGAACATACATGTAGATACCACATTGATTAGCATAATTCACACTTAGGGATACATTATCACTATGACAAGTGGTAAAACATTTAACAACAAATCCATCCCCAATATTGAATCATAGAAATTATTATTTGTAGTGATTAAAGTATGATACAGTATTACTATTATTATTAATATATTACTAGTATTACTGCATTGTAAAGCATCAATATCTAATACCAAATAATGATTTGAATTAGGTTCTAATACAAAACATCATGTAAGCCATGTTTTTCTTGAATATCAATTATTATTCGGTTAAATTTTTAAGATTTTCGTAACTCTATTTTAACTGCTTTTTAAGAAAACAAATGAATATAATTTTAATTACTTTTTGCAAGAGCCAGTGTGTGCTTTGATCCACAGGAGACTTGGACGATGAACTCCATAGATAGAGAATGTATAACACTGGAAAAAAAGTAAATTTGTTACAGTACTTGTATGGGAGTAGAGCTATAGGTTTATCTATTAACTCCACCCCTAGCAACACTGCAGTGTTCATACAGTTTTTTGGAGGCTTCAGTACAATTCTTATTTAAGAGAGGTGCCTTTTTGAGAAAACCACTTATATAATGTGTTGAGACAGACTTGGTCTTTTGCAAGATGTTACCGTACATAAAGGTACGGTACATCTGGCTCTTAATCGAGAGGCAAGTATGGAGTCATTTACAATATTTTATAAAGCATGATAATTCAATGTTGTAGTAAGTGCATTTTCTCATGGATGTGCAGGGGCGGATCCAGAGATGTCCGAAGGGGCCCGAAAGTGGGGCCGATTGAGATAACACTACCCTAGAATTCCGGAGTATACCCCCTGCAAAAATGTTGGTGTTCTAGACACCCAAAAATAACCTCTGAGGCACTTTAGGAGATAATTTTTTCTTTTTGCTTTCCAGGGGGTGGGGAAGCCAGGGCCAGCCCTACCCACCTAAGTCTGCCCCTGATGTAAAGGGGAAAACATTATTTTTCAATTAGCAAAATCACTGAATTTTTAAAAATATGTCTACATCTGAACATAATATAATTGCAAAAACAGATGAATATTTTAATGTAGGATAGTGAATTTAGAGAACTTTTTTTTTGGTGTCTTGCGGAGGTTTACCTTGGCTTCGGTCTGTTGTTGCTCGCTGAACCATGACCACATTGACCTTTTGAATCATGACCCCAACTAATTATATGACCTTTATTACTTAAGACCACACTGTGTCCATCCCCACAGGCAGCCTGCACAATAAAGAATGTATCCAAAGAAGACATACGCTCTGTGTGGAGAAAATAAATTTATAATTATAAAGAATTCTGTAGAATATATCGTACTGTATATAACAATTTTATGAATAATAATATAACAACAATAATATAATAAATTATAGGCCTACTAATACATTTATAATTAGAACAGCTTCATTTGAAAAAAAAAATCATGTAGATTGAAAAACATACCTGGTTTGCCATTACCACCATTATTAACATAAACTTTTCCATCACTTAAAACAAAAACAGTCTGCTTCAAGCCGCAAGCTATTTGCTGAATGGAACGATTCCTGAACGACAGAACCCCATTTGGTGTTCTTGATATCTGCGGATCATTATAATTTGTTTTGCCAAATAATGCAAAAATCATTCCCAGTAGATAATGCAGCAGTTTAGACAATGAAGACATTAACCTTGTGAAATTAGTCGATGTTCCATTGGCAGCTGGTATCTGCTGATCATTAAAACTTCCCACATCCAAGTCCAATGAAAAAACCTTGGATGTCATCATACACAGTAATTGAACTTTACACCAGGAAAACAGGAAAATTACACCAGTCACCCTGTCAAACGGAAAGATACTATTACTGCTCTGCCAAAACCAATGGTATATTGATGAGTATGTTTATTTTATTTAATATAATAATACTGTGCTATAATTAAATCAATTTTTGGGGGTGGCTTTATTGGGTGAGGCTTACGTAAATGGACCCAGGACAGAGATTGAAACAGTTTAGTTGTTGATGATTTATCCACCAATTTAATGATTTAAAAAAAAACCATATATGCCTATAGCACAGGAGGGGAAAGTGCGGCCCCACAGTGATTTTGTTGCAGATAGCGAAAAATAAATTTAAAACCCTGTGTGCGGCCACCCAACCGTATTTGGCTAGAAAACCCTGTTTTTTTACGGCCTTAAAGTGGTATAAAAAAAAAATTTGGTTTGCGTGGGCCAAACACCTCCTCCCCCACCCCCACATTATACACGCAAAAAAAATTGTATCCAAACTGCATCAGATTCAAATTTAGATTTCCATAAAACAATCATTCTTAATAACATTCGTCTCTTTTTACCCTCATTTTAGCCTACTATGTGTATATATAAATATAGCCTACGACTAGTATAAAATTAATAGCGTTCGATTTTAGATACTTGCTGTTTTTCCCAAGAATCTGTTGTGCGACTTCAAATGCTTGTCAAATGTGAGGAAACAAGCCTACAAGAGGAACATAGGTTTTTTTATCATGTTCAAACGGTTTCCAAACTGTTTTTGCCCTCCACAACTCACTTAATTTACGTCCGCTACAGTTGTAAGTAGAATTACGTCTTTTAAACAGGTTCGACGCTGCTGAATTAAAACAATGTATTACTTTGTAATTTCCAAAGTTTCGAATTCTGCCATTGGCATGTATGACAGGCTTTGGGAATTTCCCATCTTGAGCAAGCATTAAACAGAGGGCGCTGTTCACTTATATAAAAAAATAATCACCCCGGCCAATGCTTTTCTCTACTGTTGTTTAAGATATTTACAGTAAACATATAAATAAAAGATTGTTCAATATCTTCCATTCACGATTTAATAATTTCTGTTCCATCCAAAAATAAACAGATTGAACGTTTTCATATAAAGCTTTAGGACCAGTCAAACTAATAAAGAAAATGCAATGAATGTCCAGACTATCAAATATTATTTGACAAAAAAAACAGTTGTATGGCCTTATATAGTCGCGATGTGCCTATATATGGTCATGATGTGATGTCATCATGACCATATTTAGGCATGTCCCATTTGTTTTGTCAAATAAAATTTGATAGTCTAAACAGAGCTTTAAGTCCTGTCCAGACTATCAAATTTTATTTGACAAAAACCTGACATGCCTAAATATGGTCACATGATGATGACATCACATCATGACCATACATAGGCATACAACAAAAAAATTTGGTAATCTGGACAGAGCTGTTATAGATACACCACACTACAAATCATAGACGCTGTAATTTATGACTCCATCCTTTGTCTTTGAACGTTCACACTAATTCATTTGAATATATAATATAAAATATAATACAGTATATATATACATATATATAATTAACAAAATGATAAAACCAAAAAAACTGACTCAAATATTTTCTACAGCAATAATAAAAATAACAATAATAATAATCATAATAACAAAAATAATTATTAATAATACATAATTAAACAATAGTTGTTATTAATAACTAATAATAATAATAATAATAATGAAGTATAATACATACTCCAAGTGTCGAAATGCACGCCATCGTGTTGAATCCCAACACGATGGCGTGCATTTCAATACTTGGAGTATGTATTATACTTTCATATTTGAGATTAATCAGTGGACCTTTCGTTTTTCAATAATAATAATAATAATAAAAATAAAATTTGAAAAAAATAATAATAATAAAAATTATAATAATTAAAATCAAGATGAAAATTTTTGGATATGATGAACAATGATAAACTAAAAATTGATTTTAACGGATTAATAATATTTTATACTTATGTAAATTATGTTAAAAAAAGTAAAACCAAATACAGCAGAGAATTTGAAGATTTAATACAACCTTCATAAGCTATAACCTTATCGTAAATACAGTCACATATCTTACACATTTTTGAAGTAATAAAATCTACATTATTAGCACATCTTTGTTGATAAATCTTAATTCTCCTGACCTGAACGCTGTCAGAGCAATCTCATCGAATGTTGAGATTATAAACAAACCCATTTCCTCAGAAACATTTTGTAAACATCGGCATATGTGTAGTTAAAACAGTTAAAATTTAATATTTTTGACTGGCCTTGCAAACCATAACAAAGTTAAACACATAAAACAAACAAAAGCTTCAAAATAATGTTATCACATACACACTACTAACTTTCAATCTCCATGGGCCAGGGCAGCAGAAGTATTTGGTGATATTTATTCCTCCAGGATAATGCCAAATTGTTGTTTTTTTCCATTAATTAATGATCTAATCAAATTTTATCTAAGTCAACAATTTTTCAATGCCATGGATTTGACGTAGGCAAATTCAATTGTACAAAGAATAGTAAATCAAGGCTTGAAGTTAAAGTTGCAGAATTTAGTTGCAATATGGACTATTAAATCATCAGTACAAATCAATACAACGAAAATGACACTTTTAAATTATTTAGACTAATACATTTATAAACCCTGCTTCTCTTGATAATAGATATTTTAATAGAAAATATTTTAAATAATGAATTAATATAATTTTTATAATTACATTTACAATACAGTTTACTCAAATTACATAAATAGTTTTAGTTTTTATAGTTTATGTTAGTTTAATTATTCTATTCACAGAAATTAATAAAATAAAAAAAAAAACAACAACAATAATAATAATAATAATAACAATAATTATTGTATAATAAAATAACAATAGTGTTTGTGATTTCAGTGAACTTTGGTATTTTCCTTTCATTATTTACAATTCAAGATACAACAAAAGTCATGTAACAATGTGAGACAGCACCAACCCTACATTTGATGTTTATGTCCACAATTTCATGTGACAAATAAATGTGATATGCCCATATTTGGGTATAATATGACATCATCATGTCCATATATGTGCACATCACACAATTTTATCACATAAAATTTAATGTGGACAGAGCAGTATCAATACTATCAAATTTTAAGTGACAAATGTATGTGATTTGCCCATATATGGGTATTCATATATGCATATGCATTCATATATGACATCATCGAGCCCATATATGGGCACATTACACAATGTTATCACATAAATTTTTATATGTGGACAGAGCTCTATCAATACTATCAATTTACATGTGACAATGTATGTGATTTGCCCATATATGGATATTCATATATGTATATGTATTCATATATGATATCATCATGTACATATGTGGATGTGATATGACCTCATCATAGCCATATACAGGCAATTCACACAAATTTGTTATATAAAATCTGATAATGTAGATGAAACATTACACTAGTCCAAATCCTTGTGCATTTTCTACAGCCATTAAGAATTTTTCTCTCATTTTTTCTTTGCTTTCATACATGGGCAAATCCAACAGGTTGAAGCAGGTGTGAGCAACGGGAAGGAAGTCGGTACTGCCAAACACCGGCTGGATTATCATTTTGACCTGAGACATTCCTCGCACCGGAATCCTGTCGCTACCAGTTAGAAACACTGAGGAATTAATAAAAAACAAACAATGTCATTTCATTTATGAAACATCCAATGATAAAGGAATGAGGATGCATACGTGGTAGTTGGCATGCATGCATGGTCCTCTGGATAGGACAGTTCTATTATATTCAATACAATGGTATTGGAAGGTAAGCATCTTAACCATCGAATTACAGCACCATTCCAAAATGCATACTCATCATTGGCTGTCAAAATGTGGAGAGGATGTATCAAAGTTGTATTAAAAATAATCTATCCAATGATTCACTGATTGATGTTCAATGAGTTAAGTAGTTATATTATATTTTAAAATTATCGATGATGATGAAAAATATAATACACACCCAAAAATTTCCTTTTTTGTTCAATAGTAAGCTCATGAAAAACTTCCCAGAAAAATCTAATTGTCTCATTGTTTTTATGATAAATGGACTTGTACTCAACAATCTGTAAATGAAAACACAAAAACTTATTCACATGTTTTTTTCTCCTGGAAATTTTTTTAAAAAATTACATAGAAAATAATAATGAGATAATGCATAACAAAAATGACAAAATGTAAAATATGTTAGCTTAATCTGTTACTTACATGTTCAAATTCTTCCCAATCATAATTTTCATTGCCAACAACCATAGCCATAAGCTCCTGCGGGTGGAACAGCTGCAACACTGGTCCACCACAGACCTGTAAGAACCCCTCTGCAAAAGCACTATATTGATCCTTCACTGATTCATTGAAGATATAGTCAATATACAGGTTCACATACTCCTGTCTGAAAATTTATCACAATGAAAAGTGTTTTTACTTACACTTATTCATTTTTTATTTTTATTCCCTAATCATTTTGGCCTATATTTTAAGATAAAATATCACACAGATCCTAAGCCTAGAAAAGACATGGTATTCTACAAAATGAGAAAATCTTATGTAACTGATGTTTTGAAGATTTAATTGAAGGGAAGTAGAAGTGAAAATAGGGAGAAATTGGATGCTAAATGTTAATTTTAATGTTGACATGGACAATTTGTTCTCCCTAGTGAAAAATATTTTTGAATATATTAAAATATGAAATGCTAGGAGTTAACCTTCTTCACATCTCCCAGCACTTACGGAGAGACTTTGTTTATACTTTGTTGCGCAAACTTATTTTTGTAAAGATCATCAGATGATCAGATGAGGACAGAAAAAATGAAAGGAAATTTCTTTTTTCCTACTTAGCAAATAGTTTTGCCAAAAACGTTCAGACGGAGGAAAAAATAAAAATAAAATGTTGGTGAATGTAAACAGTGTAGTAATGGGATGATTAAATGCTTCAAATTTATATCATTGGGAAGAAATATACATATCTTATTTTTAGAGATTTAAAGGCAGCAGCGGGCATAAAAAATATAAAGAAAAACTTTTATTTTTTTCTGAAAATTCCATTCTTTTCGTGGCGCCGGGTGCGCTAATTGGCCAAAAATTAAATTTTATTTTTATTCCCAAATCATCAATATTTGCGGGCGGGTGGGTTCGCTAAACAAGGTACAAAAAAAGCCTCGCCTAATGGTACATATTAATATGCGTTTATACTGCATTCTAACATTGTTGGAATCATTGGTTTCAATAAAAATTAAAGCATTGTCCACACTATAAAATTTTTTGTGACAAATATCTGATTTGTCACATAAAACTTATAGTGTGGACGGAACCTAAAGCTCTGTCCACACAATAACATTTTCTTTGACGAAAAACTGTTGTATGCCCATATATAGTCATGATGTGCCTATATATGGTCATGATGTGATGTCATCATGACCATATTTAGGCATGTCACATGTTTTTGTCACATAAAATTTGATAGTGTGGACAGGGGCCTAAGAGATTAAAGATGGCAAGCTGGTTTACTTGTTGTGAATCGTAACACGAACATCCTTTCCTCCAGGTATCAGCTCGATAGTTTCCGTTTGTCCAAATGCTTCCTCAGAAATTTGAAAGTCAAGGTCGAACACTTCCTCAAGATTGGGGTCTTCATAGTCGAGTAATGCTTCCATACTTGAGGCTACAATGGGGTCCAAGTGCTTCATGTCTTCAAGGTTAACTGGCCTAAAATAAAATATAATAAATAAAATACAAATTAATACATTTTATTTTGTATTTTATGTAATTTTATGATCATAGTGTTACAAACTTTGACCTTTTAGTTTTATAGAATATAATTAGTTGTATCCTGTTATTTGAACTTGAAAAAGACACAATGAGGAAGTCCAAACATCATTCTTTTTTTTCTTAGCGTTATTTTTTTTTAAAGTATTTATACCAAATGTACTCTTTATTATTTCATTGTAATATAGAATAAAATAGTACTTTGCTTTTGATAATTATGTTTGCCATGTAATATTCCAAAACTTATAATTGGATATCATAAAAGTTAATGATTTTGGTTTCTATATTTGGCATTCTCCAAAAAAACCATCATCCAAATAATGATTTATTCATAAGATAGAAAGAAAAACTTACCTTTGTAAAAGTTTCTTGTAAAGTGCTAATGAGAATGGAAGATCGATAATTGTGTGATTATAAATTGCAAGTCCGGCAAGAATTCCCACTAAATGAAACATTGATCTTTCCTCAAACGACTGCCGACAAATAAGAACCAATCAGCAGATAAAGAATTAATTTATTCATGTCTTGATATTCATATACAATTATTTTTAAAACCATATTTATAGAGCGTTACCCTTCCAGCGTATCCTAGAAGGTCGGCTGATATCCGGGGACCCCATTAACTAAATGAAACAATGTGATACTTTACCAGCCAAGTCTCTTTATGAGGTTTAGAGAGTAGAGTTGTTTTTAGTCATGAGAAAGTTCTGCTGTTAGGAATTGAACCCAGGACCCTGAGATTAGAAAGTGAGCATCTTAACCACTAAGCTATTCAACTCCACTCTGTAATTTATAATGATAGTGGAACAACACAATAATGTTGCAAACAATGATGTAATGTTACAAAATAGCATATGATGTAATGTAACTAAAAAAAGAATATTATGCAATCATTCTCATTTGCATGTGAAATGTTGTACAGCAACAGTATTTTAACATACCTTTGAGTTGAACCATATAGTAGAATTATTACTGTAAAACTTAAACATTCCAAACTTTGGATCAAGAATCTCTTTAAAAATCAAGAGAAAGAACTCCTGCCGAAAAAGATAATAATAATTGATGTAGTAATAAATTATTTAAATTTACTTTATTAGATTTATTGGATAATTTTCCAAAAACTGTATTTTTTAATACACTCAGAAATGTAAGTGTGATAAAGGGCTCATCTGCTATACCTTTTTAACTCCTCCTACATCCATTGCTTCCTCACCCATAAAGACAACCCTTAGTGGCTTCTTTAGGTCTGTGGTGCCTTGCTTGGACAACTGGTCTAGTGTTGTGTGTAATATAGCATCTCGTCGAATATACAAAACCAAGCATGGATTGACTGGGTCTATAAAACTAGGTTGCAGCATGCTTTGGAAATTCTGTCTATGTACATTTTCCAGTGCAAACTGTTGAAAAATATCAGAGAGAAATAAAATTCCCTTAAACTCATCACAACAGCCTTTACTCAATACACCCGTCTTACTAGTTGTATTCTAATGATCCCCTACCCACTTTCTGTTACACTTATTCCATTCCTTAATTTCCCCGTTCCTTTCCTGCCCTTCCCTATCCTTTCTTCATCTACTTTTCCATCCCTTTCTTCCTATATTCATTCGTGCCTTCTCTTACTCATCCATTACAGTACCCTCTCACTACTATTCATCTTCTAGTTACCTGCATTTGAAATGTGGCATCCAGGTGAAGTATTATTGTCTTTGCATTCCCATCAAATATGAAAGGATAGTTACAGAAAGTAAACAATCGGATCTACAAGAAATATACACACTTTCTAAATATCAACCCAAGTACATAAATATAATAGTAAACTATAGCAGTCACTCCATAGAGTACCTAACTGTGCCAGAATGCCAAACAACAGGCAGGCCGTGTATGGGCGATTCCATTATTTTCTTTTATTCTCAATGGTATATAAAATGGAATTTCCATGGCCTTGTCCTTTCCAAAATTTAATCATCTCTTTCTTAGATTATTATGTACTATTCCACTAACTTTTGAGATGAACCATTCCTTAGTTTTTGAGTAATCTTTATAATAGACAGACAGATAGAGAGTGGTGAATACATTTATAACCTCCATGGCGGAGATAAAAATGCCAGATTTATATCACACACATTTTACATCACATAGCTAGGCCTCTATGCTCTCACATTATTACCGCGGTCATATGATCTAAATAAACCGCATGCAACACACACACACAGATTGCTCTATAATGTTGCAGCATGTTATCATCATACCAGCCACCACCACCTCTACCAGGTACTTACTTAAGTTCCTGGATACTTACATGATCAGTCTGTTGCCTCAGCCAAACCATATAGTGCTGACGAAGCACATCTTCATCGGTAATTTCAGGAATGTAAAATAAATAATACGGAACAATCTCTCCCTTAGCAATATTCACCTATCAATACAATATGTTTTGTAAATTATTTACTGGGCAATCTATAATGATACTAATAATAACAATAATAATAATAATAATAACAACAATAATAATAATAATAACAATAATAATAATAATAATAATAACAATAATAATAATAATAACAATAACAATAATAATAATAATAATAATAATAATAATAATAATAATAATAATAATAATAAAAATAAATGAAAACTTGTGGCACTCATGACCTTTGTGTATTAACAACCGGAGAAAACATCAATAAATAGTGATGTTTTCAAGTTATTCTTGAAACTGTTCAGACTAGAAGATTATTTAACTTTAATCTAAATTAATAAGGATGCTAGTTCTTTAATTATTACACATAATTGCTCTAAAGTATATTACACAAATACAAATTAAATACAAATTTGTGTTTAATTTACCGGTAAATAAAATTGACAATGTTATGATCACTTGATCTATATCAGCACAACATGCTACACCCTCCTTTTACAGACGAGCATCGATAGTCTCCCTAGATACCTGCTGTAGATACCCCTTAGACGAGACTGTTTTTACACCTTGTTTAGCAAACCCACCGAACGCAGATATTGATGATTTCAAATAAAATTAAAATTTCATTTTTGGCCAATTAGCACACCCGCCGATATGAAAAATGGAAATTTCAGGAAAAAAAACATTTTTTTGTTATTTTTATTACGCCCTCTGCTGCCTTGAAATCTCCAAAGATAAGATATGTATATTTCTTCCTAATTATATAAATTTGAAGCATTTAACCATCCCATTTTACATTTACCAATAAAATTTTATTTCTATTTTCTCCGCCATCTGGATGTTTTTGGCTAAACTATTTGCTAAATAAGAAAACAAAATTTTATTTTTATATTCATTCCGCCCTCCTCCGATGATCTTTAAAAAAATAAGTACGCAAAACAAGGAATAAAGTAAGTCTCACTTTACCCTGTGTAGTTTATCGAGCACATTCATTGATATTTCCACACTGTGCTCAAGCACACTGTTTGGATTCTGGTGTAAATAAACGACTGCTTTCTTGTAGATTGTTAGAATCCGGTTCATGTGCCGTGGTTGGAAACTTGCCCACCACGTATCTGAAAAGAGTTAAAGTTAAATAATTTAATTACAAGTATTGTTTATGAATTATTATTGGTCTAATTTTAAAAGAAAGACGACAATAACAACGATAATAGTAACGATGATAATGATAATAAGATTAGGTCAATTAAAGTATTCCACTGTTTTTTGTTAATCTACACCCCTCCCCTTCCCATGAAGAAGCAGACGCAGAGTCATCGCTTGTACAACAGAAGAAAATCCCCCGGTTTTTGTTGCCTAAAGAGAATATGCAGTTCTTAATGATCACATGGGAATGTTGTACACAGAATCAAAGGTATTTCACTTAACCTGTATTTCACAAGAATAGAACCTAAGACACAGAATCAAAGGTATTTCACTTAACCTGTATTTCACAGGAATAGAACCTAAGACATGAATAGTTCATAGTGCACACACACAGTCATTACCACCCAGTTTTACCCAACTGATCTGTTGTTCTAACAATAAAATTGTTGTCATTGTCATACAAATCAAATCCACATACCGATCACCTTGGCTCCAGCACTTGATAATCTTGTTAACGACAAACCAATGCTTAAAATTGAATCAAGGTACATGTCAGGATATTGCATTGTGGGACATTCCATCAGTAACAGGTAGAGTCGAAGCGCTTCTATGTCAGGGGGTGAAGTTGGTAATGAGGGACCGAGATTCCTAAATATTACCTGAGAAATCTGAAGAAAAATACAAAACTTCAAATATAAACTTGTAAACTACTGTAATAGGTATAATTTATGATCATCAGATATCAATACATAAAATACACATTAAATAATGTTCAGGATCTTGATCTTAATTTATATTGAAGAATTTTTTGGATTTAGAACTAGAAGTACAGTATGAACTTTAAGGCCAGGCTCCGGAGGAAAAAATGTTTTATATGTTGTACAACTGATTTTTCTGAGATAAAAAAAAAATTTTTTTGGAATATTTAAAATCCGGGAGGAAAAGGGGCATAACCACAATTTTTTCAACCTTCTTCTTCTCCCAGTTTTTAAATATTCAAAAATCTGTATCTCATTAACTGCTTCCGATTTTTTTTGTCAAATATACATTTTGTGTCTCAGAAAAATCAGTTCTACAACATATCAAAAAATTGTTTTCCTCCAGAGACTGGTTTTAAGTATGCCACATAGATGTTAATTTTGTCACATATGTTAATTTTGTCACATATGTTGACATCATTTTAAGGATTTAAGTTTGTCACATATGGAGACTTGCCTTTGATAGGATGTTATGCTTGTCACCTAGCATTTGTAGTTGTTCTCTTGCTTTGTCTAGGTCCACACCATGATTCTGACGACCACAACCATAGTGTCTGTCTTCACTAATAAAATACAAAAACAGACATCTGTATGTATTATGCTTTACGGGCCCCAGATGCTGGGGCTTTGGGCTGCACAGGGTGCCGATGGGGCTCTGAGGGACGTTCCGTGGGGTATTTTAATGCCCTTTTTACACATTCCAATACTAAGTTCATGTATCGTGATTTGACCCCAAAAAACCTTACTTAATGTTAACTAAGATATCCCTAATAAACATATTACAATAAATATCAAACAAAACGACTCAATTAAAATCAAAATGCCCCAATCACCCGGCAGACTTTGGCTTGGAAAAGGGCATTGGTTATTCGTTTGTAAAAAAAATTATTTGAATTTTCTGGGGGCGCCCTTGAGGCTCCGGTGCCCTGGCTTTAGCCAGTGAGTGCTCATAGCCATTACGCCACAGAGATGATGATAATGACGATAATGATGATGAAGCAGCACAGTAAAAATTAACAACAATTAAACAATTAAAAATAATAATAACCCATTATCATTAATAGACCACCACCACTAGAACTAAGCATTACCACCATCATCATTATTATCAGCATCAGCACCAGTACAATAATCATCACCACTGTCAGAGAGACAAACACACTATTTTTACAGACTTTGAGACCATGAAGCATAATCGGACCCCTCCAAGGCGAAATGTTTAGACTTACTCAGTCAGAAAGGAATTATTAAGACAAGCTTGAGAAGAGAACCGTTCTTTTATCATTGCATAGATGTCATCAGGAGCAGGGGTCCCATTTGAAGAATCTGCTAAGCTCTTTATAAATTGTTCATCTAACCGATAAATAGCACAGTCTGGAGTTGGAAGACGATGATCCACAGGCTCGCATTCATACTAAGTTGAAAAAAAATTATTTATTAATTTTATTTTATTTATTAAGCTTCATCACTACACACAGGCTACAGGTGATGGTGGGTAAAAGTGCCCTAATTGTTTTACCTTATCTAATATTTATGTATGATTTGATTTCCAACAACAAATATTAAAACTGTATGTTAAAATGGCAAAAATGTACCTGAGGCTGAGATGCAACACAAAAGCAATGATGTCCCCCACTGTATATGTTCTGTATCACCATCCCCTCCCCTGCCTCAAAGCCCATAGGTGTTTGTTCTGGCCCAATTGGCACCCACGGGCCATTGACAGTCAATGGACTGGTGCTAGGGTTCCATGACCCAAGGCCTAACTGTCCATATTCTGATGACCCAAATGAGTATATTCTACCTGAAGAAAGCACAAATGCTAATGTGTGTTCTCTGAAAGAAAAAATTGATAACGGGGAAATAATTACGTTAATAATTATAACAGGATATTAACAAAACAACTGTAGGACATATCTTTCATTTCCTTTTTTTATTTCATTAGGCACAAGTGCTAAGGTTATGCCAATAAGCAAACTTAATCATTGTCCTATGTGGCATATACATTAAACAACAGGGACTTAATCGACCTGTACACCAGGGTAACCCCCTAGTCTTCTCAAAGGATGTCTGTGTTCTTTAAAGTGCACATGAGCCAAATGCGTACACTTGGCCTACGCTTTAAAGTCCGTCCGTATCCGAGAAGACATTCCACCACCATAAACATTGGCGAGTTAGCCGTTCAAACCAGCGCCGATGTTAGAGTTGAAGGTTACGGTGGCCCGACTTAAAATGGAGTGGAGTTAAACAGCTTAGTGTTTAAGATGCCTTCTAATCTCAGGATCCTGGGTTCAATTCCTGTCACCGCAGGACTTTTTATCGTGACTAAAAACAACTCCAATCACTAAGAATGATAAAAGTATCACATTATTTCATATATATAAGAGGGATCTTGAATATCAGCCAACAATCTAGGTACACTGGAAGTGTCACTCACTATAAATATGGTTAGAAAAACAAAAATATTCTATAATGGAGGGGTAACTCCATAACAAATTGAGAAATATTCCACACAATCAATGGAATACCAACCTTCCACACACAACCTGTGTCACCGTACTTCCCATCAGTTCTAGAACTTTCTTTGGATTGATTTCATCTGCATTTGAATTGTGGCCTAGCTGGCCATAGGTACCATCACCAAAGGTAAATACTCCACCATTCTGTTAATTAAAAAAAAAAAAAACAAAGAGCATATATAGCATAACTGTATATAAAGGTCACTCTATTACTTGCAATTAACAGTCAAGTGAAATGAAATAATTTACCGAAGTCAGCATAACAGAATGGTTTTCCCCACATGCCATGTATTTAACATGTTGTGATCGAAGACTCTTTAGGTGAGTAGGAGCAAAACGATCTGTAAAATGATAGGTTTGAAAAAAGTATTGAAATAAAGCAATAGTCAAAAGATTCTCATCGATACTTTATCCAAAATAGAGGAATATAAACATTAGTATTTAATATTATAATAATATGCTATTGCTGCAACTAAGAATTTAAATGCCAATAAAGCATATAATAAATCAAAAATAATTGAAGTGGTACAAAGCAAAATAGAAACAGGGAACGATAAAACATGTATTTAAGCTGTGGTATAGTTGTTAAGGTGTTCAACCTCCAATGTAATATTAAGTCATGTAGTCAGACTTAAGTCATATTGAAGTCTCAAGTCTATGTGCGTAACTTAAAAATACAAAAATTACATTACATACTTTATACTGTACTGTAATATCAAATCTGTATCTAAAAACCACTAATCTATCCTAAAAGAAAATAAATTTAACTCGGAAACAAACACAGAGTAACTAACAATATATAACTAAAATCCACCAAAAGCAGTGGTTAGATAATGCTTGGCCAATGCAATCCCAGTCAGGTTTAAATCAATCCATTACCTTACATATTGCCATCAAAGTTAGAACGTACACAGACTCAATGCTATGCAACTGACCTTTTCTGTCATTGAGGCCAAGCTGACCAGACTTGTTGTATCCCCAACCAAATATTGTCCCACTGAAAGTTAAGGCAAACGAATGCCTCCCACCACACGTGATCTGCTTAAAGGCAAGTCCATTCAAGCAACGTAACTCAGTTGGGTCAGAGAATACTCGTTTTGGTGACCCAGATCGCCCCAGCTGTCCAAAATTGTTATCTCCCCAAGAAAATATTTTTCCATCTGCAAAGATAAATAAACCATTCTGATCCTGGATAAAGACATACTTCACTGCAATAGCAACATGATAACGATAGAAAAAATACATTTAATCAAATAATCAGTCACTCTAATCAATCAATCATTCAACCACATATCACTTTTTTTCAATCACATACCACAAAAATCAACATCTAATAAATAATTAAAATAGAAAATTATAAATTTCAAGTATAAACAAAATTGTACTATTTTTTTTCTCTGAACATATTTACTGTACAAGCATCATCATCTAAAAGTACAAACTTATAAAATTGATGTCTGTATCAAGACATAACAAACTGACATTCATGTTGCATGTATATATACCACCAAACTGCCACAAAAAACCCAGTGTAAAAAATATTTTTCAGCAGAAAATGTAATCAGGGTTTGTACATTTTTAAACAAGCAAATTTCCAGAACTTTCCGGTACTGGAAAATGCTAATTTGTTTTTCCAGGACATTCAAGGAATTCAAGGACGCATATGAACCCTGTGTAATGTTAGCATTCCTGGAATGAATGGCTGCCAAAATTAGCTAGTTAAAAAATTGTTGATCAGTTAGAATAAATTATCAGGCTGTGTAATTTGTAGAGCCCTAGGGTAACTTTGCCCATCTCGTTTAACAGAGCAACTGAATGGTAGTCCTTTGATGAGATCTGTTTTTATTATTGGCGTAGATTATGAAGCTGACAGGATTAGGAAATGCTAATAAGTAGTCATGGTGATAGGAAGGCATTCAAAATTAGAATTTATTAAATAAATGATTCTTAACATATTTAAACGGAAATTGCTTTCAAAAGAGCATGTCCTTCTAAATGTTAATGTTAAATCTATGAGCAACACATAAGATAAGAATATATTTAACTATTTATATGAAGCTACTAGATAAATGTGTATGCAATAAATGTTACAATAGGCCTAATTATTTGTAATAATGATCACAATCCATCAACATTTTTATTTAATTTTATTTTAATTTCATATTTTTCTTTGGCAAATCTCTCACTTGTATACTGTAAAGCATTGTACGTCAAACTCAATCAAATTGTCTACATGTGATTTTTTTATAAATTCAATTTCAATTTTCAATTTCAAAATAAATTTATTCCAAATCTTTTCAAAGCATAGATAAACAGTACAGATATAAAAAATGGAAATGGAAAGGGCAACTACAAACAAGCAGAGCTTTACACTTGTGGCGCCCGAAAAAAAAGTAATTAAGATACTATTTCAAATTGCCAAAGTAAGTCAAGGTATACATTTTAATTAAAGCACTTTCATATCATAGATCATGATAATAATAATAATAACATACAGTATTATTATTTTCATGGTTACTATTTATTACTATTATTATTTTGCAATGTAATGTTGAGAGAGCAGCTTAGCTCAGTCGGCTAATCTGGTGGTACCACTGTGTGTGCGCTGAACCGTGGAGATCTCTAGGTCCCCGGTTCAATTCACATCGCTGCCTCTCCTTGTGTTTCAGCTAGAGGGCTGAAATTCAAGTTACAATTAGTGCACCGTCTATTTTTTTTTTTTCCATATTCATCATCTTCACTACTATCAGCACTAACCTCTTTGATCACTCCGAAAAACAGCTAAAATTTCTTGTGAATGTAGAATTGTTTTTACCTTTTGTTAGAGCTAATGTATGATGCAATCCACAGGAGACTTGGACAATAAAGTGACTTGATAAAGACTTGATAACCCTAAAAAAAAACAATGACTTAGACTTACGTCAAGAGCTTAAGATTGCTTTTCAGAATTATGTCTATCAGGCTCAACAATGTTTGATCAGATATTTGTTTGATGAAGAAGAGCATTGTCAAGTCTTCAACAGACATCGTGGAAAAACACATGATTTGTTTGATACACATGAGTGGCCTGCTTCGTTCCCTGACAGATTTTACCGTGGCCCCCAAAGGCTGGGCCAGGCCTTACTTATAGCTGGACTTGGAACCCAGCCAGCTCACTACTGCTGATGCAGCATACATTATCTGACTGCTTTATAGCAAATTCACAAAAGACAAAATGTTACATTAAATATGTGCTAGAGAAACTTTAGCAACCAATAGTTAGCTACCATATAACATTAAAATATCAAAAATATATAATATTTTGAATAGATGTGATTGTGGTTACCTTGGTTTAGCTCTAGACCTAGATTGAAGGTCTGCTAAACTTTGAGCACACTGCCCCTCAATGTTCCTGCCCCAGCTTAACAACTGTCCTTTGTTATTGATAACAACATTATGAGCATATCCGCAAGCAGCTTGTCTGATTGAGAATGTTTCCAATGCTTTTATTTGCTCTAGTGATGGAAAATACAACAAAACACTAATACGCTATGCTCCTCATTGTATGATGTTTCATAGCTATGTTGAACTAAACAAAAATGTATTTGAATTACTTGTTTTATTGGTATTGGATTTGGGACAGATTGGTTCAACAGTTTTGTTTCAAACCATTCATTGTGAATTTTACTTGTAGGATGTTGCGTCACTGAATGTATTTGTCTGTGTGCAATGAAGCATGATGAGGTTACATCAAATTTGCCGGTGTAGTTAGAACAGCGAGATGTAAAATTAGTGATGCTGCCTCAACACTGGATTTTGGATTCTCATCTTCCAAACTTCAAACAACCTATTAGTTTTTTGTTATTTTTAAAATAAATAATTATACCTAATCATTATTCAATTCAATTTCATTGTGCTTCAAATGCCATCAAGGGCCAATATCCGCTTGGAATGACGTTCACAAATACACCGTCAAACATTAAAAAATATATCTTACATTACTGATTTGTTGTATGTGTTTGTTTCTAGCATATAATTTTTTTTATACTAATTTTATTAACTATTGAAAAATCCTGATTGTACAGTAAACCTCAAATCAGGGTTTTTTTAAATTTTTAATCCATTTTAGTTACTTTTTTCAATATTTTCTTTTTCCTCATAATGTAATTAAATGTTTCAATTTGTTTTCTGTTGCATTTTTGACGGAGAATAAGAGCAGTGTTTTGTTTGGGTTTATACCTTTTCCTTGCTCCTATACCTTTACGTAGCCAGATAAATATTATTACTGATGTAGATGTATCCACATAGGGTCCTCTATCAGAGTTCATCCAGATGACAATGCCCAGAGTGCAAAGAATGTACCTCTGATATGGGTAATTAAATGTTCTAATTAAATTTTTTAAAGTTTTATGTATTACAACATCTGACACTAACCTGGAAAACTGCTTGTTTTGTCATGTCCAAGTTGACCCTGTTCATTATTGCCGCAACTGTACACCGTGCCATCATCTAAAACAAATAGAGTGTGCCTATGGCCACAAGCTATTTGCCGAACACTACGACCTTGGAAATGTGTCACCTCTATAGGACTCAAAGTATTCTCATCATTCAGATGGCCTAGGCCAAGTTGATGATCGCTGTAGGATCCCCAGCCGTAGATTTTCATAAGGGCAGTTGTGATCAAAAGCCCTGGATGTAAAGTGTATAACTTGTATTCCTCATTCGACTGCTGACTGTGACTTGCTGGAATAGGACAAAAATACAATAATAATACTAATTACTGTACACCAAATAACTGAGTCTGGTTATCCTGTCTTAGCATTGTTGGGGGTAGTGTATGGGCAGATAAAAAATATATTTGATTATCACTCTAGTTTTCAAAAAATTGATGAGGAAATTTTTTTTTATTATATAAAGACTAGGTCTATTTAAATAAAAGAAACGTAATTAATTTAAAGATAAACTTAATATTTATTTACAACAAAGATGTACACTGCATGGCATGTTTGGGTAAAGTGTATTACATTTAAAGAATAACAAAATGCTCATATAACATCAGCATGTAGTTTGATATATGTACCTTCTTCCGCATACCACACAATAATGTTGCTAAAAAATGTTATGAAGTAAAAAAAAAAAAAAAATATTTTTTATTACTGCATCAAAATTTCCCAAATTTTTGATGAGGGAGGAAGTGATAATCTAGCAATTGTTTTTTATTGGCCCTAAGGCTTGCTTAATTCAATACTGTACAGTACACAAGACTCTAAAGTAAGGCCTGCGCTGGGAATTTATCCTCTGCGCAAAAAATAACTGACCTTTGTAATGACCTTCCTGCTAACAATCCCCGGACCTTGAATATTGTTGTCAAGGTCCAACAAAATGACAGTGTTAAAACATACATAAACATGTGCATTTTGTGGGACAACATAATGCGCTTGTTAATATGTTCCAATTGGTCAATTGTTTGATACTCAGAAAAGGTCCACTGGCTTGCAGGACAGGAGAGCTATTACTGTAGGAAACCCATCCCAGCCCCAAAATATTATTTATCTAGGCCTACAGAAGGCCTAAAATATTAGACCTACCCTAGGTTAGGCCTATTCAATAAAATTACAATTTTTACCAATTTAACATTACAGAGAGAATGAGTAGGCCCAAGGCCTCTGTAGTAAACAAGTGGACAAAAGTGAAGTCTAGTCTAATGCCTACCAATGGAAAATGGTTATTCGGCCGTGTGAACTACTCCAAACAAAATGGTTATTTGGCCATGTAAACAATTACAAAATGTAACGAAAAAAAATGCAGTTTCATTTATTGAATTAAAAATAGGTGATTTTCTTCTTTTTTGTTATGCAAACAAGATAGGCATATGCTATGGCTATACGTTCATTGTGAAAATCTTTGAGTTGGAAGGAAAGAAATGTATGGTGCTCCCATAAACTGCATCCAAAATGCATAAAAATACTGTGACTAAAATGAAGGCCCAACTAAAATAATACCGTGTCATGCGAATAAGTGTCCTGAAGTTGTTCGCACGGCCGGTCGTGCGAATCCTCGTTTTGGAGTTGTTCGCACAGCCTGCCGTCCGAATAACCATTTTGGAGTCGTTCGCACGGCTGACGGTGTGAATAACTTTGGCCCTATCAATTCAATGACCAGGGTGGGTCCTGTCGTGACAGTGCGTACAGTACAGCGCCTAGGCCTGCGAGCGGCCTATCCTAGGCTCCCTAGCAATTCAAAAAAGGCTAGTTTAGCTAGGAGGATAGGCCTCTCTACACGGCTAGGCTAGTCCTACGCCCTAAAAATCTAGGCCTAGAGTCTCTAGAGTAAGCCTAGCCTAGGCAGCCTGGTGCCTAGGGGCCTAGGCCTACCTCCTCCGGTGTTCCCTCCTCCTGCCCAGACTTCCTAGTTGTGAGCAATTAATAACCTCTCAAATTTGATTAATAGTATCAATTCATGACATTACAACAAACAAGGAAATAACGACAAAAATCAAATAGACACATCCTTACCTGTTTTAAATTCAAAGCACTTACATTCTGAATTTGCCTAGTGAAATTAGGCCTACACCAGGCCCTGGCATATTCAACGAGGCAGAACGAGGCTGATGAAGCCACCACAAATTTTTACTCGAGCGAGTGTGCTCGAGCGTATCAGCACGCCCCCGCTCGTCGTCGTGTGTCTCTCTCAAAGATCTTATAACTTGAGGGCGTAATCTAAGGCGTTGTCTGGGCGATGTAACATTTTTTGTGACCAGGGAACAGTTTCACAGTGTTCCCTGATTTTACTGAGAGGTTATATTTTATTTTATTTTATAAATAAATAACACTCCCAAACGACGGATAGCCCGCCAACATGAGGATGGAAGACAATAAACTTTAATTCATGAGAATAAAATTCATTATAACATTTCAGAATAGCTGAGTTATAATGAGGAACCTAAACAGTGATAGGATAATATTATTAGTGATTGACTTTTTTTTTCTCATCAGAGCAGCCATCAATTCTCAACTTTTCAGTGAAACACACACATGGGAAATGTATTCTTTGCGATGCCAGTTAACACTGTGGCAGTTAAAAAGTCGTTAAGGCAATAGAAGTAGGTTTATCACCCCTACGGGCAACTCTTAAGTTTAGGGCCTATAATTTGCGTTTTTTTTATTGCCCTCGATGGCTCAAGTACCCGCAAATAATTGAACCTTTAATAGGAAATCTAAATGAAATGAAATATTTTTAAAAAGTAGGCCATATCCTTGAAGGAAAAATGAAAATAATATTTATCTCCCCCGCGGAGAGCGGTGAGGGTCCTGGGATGAATCCCCACTTTTTTACCGTCGGAAAAATCAGCCTTCCCCTTCTCCACTATCTTAATCTCACTATTGTAGAAGGACATGTGCTGTTAACTTCATATTTATCTTTTAATTTGAATTCTTCTAATTTTAATAATACTGATTTTAAGTGTTCTACTTTATCGTGATAATAGATTGCGTCAAGCTATCGTCAATTAATTTAATATAAGTTTGAGTTACGTTTATCTGCTTTCTGTAATTATTTAATTTGATTTAAATAAGTTCTTTTACCTGGGGGTTCGCCCGGACCCCCTTTTTTTGACAAGCCAACCCCTTGTTATTACTATTATTGTATAGTAGTATTAGGTTGTACTGATTCTTACAGAAAAAAAAACACTTACTTTGTTGTTTTTACAATAAATATTGATGTTCAAATTTACTTCATTTCAGTGTTTTTACTGTGCTCTGCCTTGAAATCCTGTGTTGAAAAGAAGTGATCATTACTATCTTAGAGGCCCTGCATACTAGAACTCTTACTCCCCTTTTATTGGATAATTACAAAAAATGTTTTTCACTTTAAATTGCAAGAAGTATTTAAATATATGCCATATAGGCCTACATGCTTTAAAAGTGGCAGAAATGCTCCGGCTTCTGGGGATTTTCCCCCGGCCCCCACAAGGGTTTTGTCCCTTTACCTCACCGGGACCCTTCGGCGGGCCCCTGGACCCTACGCCCTGAACCCCCGCTTGGCTGAAGTTGGCTATGGGCCTGTTAAATCTGCATTGGTTTTTGAATAATTTTTTATATAGGTCCTAATGGCTACATTCATTTTTAAATAATTATTCTGACAATATTTCTACAATCTGTCGACTCCGTTTGTGACCTTTAAACTTTTAAACAGACAATCTTTAATAAAGTTTAATACAGTAATTTGTTACATTTACTCAGTCTCCTCAGTCTGTCCAGCGTTTGAATCAGTATCTTTAGTTTTTTAATTCGCTCGTCTCACATTTTTAACGTTATCAAATTTCATTTTCCCATTGTTATTAAACGTCAGTTATTATTTTTTTTTTAATAATTAGGCCTAGGCCTACTTCGTTGGATTTTCCCATTTTATGACAAAGTATGCCTATAATAATAAATCACGAAAACTTTGGTATAAGAAACACATTAATAAGAATATAGGCCTACTATGCCAGTTAGTGGGGGCCTACTGTAGACCTATGTGGTGTGCTGGGGCAATTTTCTGACTGTTTTTAATGTTTTAATGTTTTTAAATGTTTTAATTATTCAAATTCTTGATGTGTTTTATTTTTAATGCGTGTGTTGGTCCATGGCTCAGTTTCCTCGTTGGCTTCCTTTTAAATCCTGTTTTAAAATTTAAATTTGTGCTTTTTGTATTTACATTTGGTAGTGTTTAAGCTTACTAAGCATTGTACAATTATTTCAATGTACTGTATTTTGACACGATATGTCCATTTTAACTTTTGTAAAGCGTATTGAACAGTTTCAATTAAAAATGCGCTAAATCATCATATTAATCATTAATATTCTTATTTTTATTATTATTTACATAGGGCCTATTTGGAAAAACGTATTGTGCTAATTGGGATTTGAATCGTATTGGTGATGAGATGAGTCAATATCGAGTGAGAATACCAGCATTCCCAACAAACATCATCGATCTATTTAAAACGATGATATTTACAGTATTTAATACATGGACCAACACCAGCTTAATTTAGTTGTACTGTATTGTAGTATGTTTTAGTAGACTACTTGCAGTTGTGTTTAACAGCACGAATTCTTCGGCCACTATTATTTTGTTAAATTTTAGAGTACACAGTATATAAAACGAAATCAACGAAGCGTAGCAGTGAAATCGTTGACGCGTGTGAACTATCTATAATACCTATGGCTAGTATGTGGGAATTTCCAGTATGTATTTTTATAATTATATAACGCACGAACACGCAACCAATGCTTTTTCTATGCTACTAGCCCTACAACCGTTGTGTACTGGTTTCGCAATTTAGATAACTAAATGTTGCATAAGTATTGCATACTATAATAGTTTAAAGATTTTATACCAAGCCTAGCAAACGGTAGCACATCGTTCATTATCAACACCCAGCAGCAAAGACTTTCTTCTGCCGTGAATATCTCTACCGACAGGAGAGTGTGCCTGGAGAGTGTGCTTTTGTTAGCCTAGGGTAGACCAATCCGACTCCTGGAGTTTCACAATTATATTAATCCCTGGAGAATGGTATCATTATTCTGTTGGTAAGTAGTTGATTTTTTTTATTACTTTTGTAGAATTGTGTATTGTGGACAGATGCCCATCCTCTGTGAGACTGTGCTGTGTGTGAGTGTTCCCCGTGCCAGTGACAGTGTGGCGGAGAGTCTTTCCAACCAATCATTATGTTGG